GAGAGTAGCAAGCAGTTTGCAATTAACTTTCATCTTCAGGTTTTTGGTATAGCAAGGTCATTCTTAAAGTTGTTTTTGCTGGGTTTTTTCAGTTTCAGCTTTCAAATAGGAATAATTTTTAAAGTCGCACCACTTTTGTTTCAAGTTCTCATGATACTTATCTTTGAGAATATGAATCTGCTTTTCCTTGAGAACTACTTGCAATTAATGAATTGTTACTTTGTGAGCAGTTCTGACCAATGTTTTCCCTGGTAGTTAAATACCACCATGGCAAAAAAGATGCCAAAATTTGAAGGGATTTCTCTTAAATCTACCTGCAACACAGATAATTACAACAGGAACCTATTATATGCTAGCACAACTCCAYTTCATTCCAGGTGTTCATGAATTGCAAAACACATTCCAGTTGGCTGCTGGCATGGTGGGATTATTCATCCCTTGCACAAGCAGGTGCCATTTATGCTGCAGTCAGTGAGAATTAGTGTCACAGTGTGGCTACTCGAGCAGCCTTGCCTGATGTCATTTATTGCAGTCAGGCTGTCGGTGTTAGCATGGACACTGCAGGAACCTGTGGTTTTACACAAAAGGCAGCAGTGATTGCCATGACATTTTCTGTTGTTATTATCACTCAGCTAAATCCTCAATTGCAGAACCAGAAGTGGAAAGATTTTTAACACAACTAGATATGSCATTAGGGAAAGAGTGTGCTTTTCCTTAGCTTGGAGGCTGTAGATGATCCTTGGGCCACTTSTTGGTGTCGTTTGTTTAAWGTATTTTTAAGATTAAYTCATTCCTTACAATTCATTCCATAYAATTTATGTATTTCACTGTGAAGCGATTCAAACAGATTTACAGTCCCTGATGCATTCAAGATCAAAATGAATTACTGCTGATGGAGGAGTATGAGAAATGAAAACTGTTAAGGGATTCATTAGAGCTTTAGACTCTAATTGTGCTGGCCAAAATATGCATAGACAGTAATTTATCAATGAAATTTCTCTTCCTGTTTCCAAGTCTCACACAAGCATACTGCAGTGTCCACCAGTTCATTCACTGGTTATGTCTCTTCAGCAAATGTGTAGGGCAAAGATCCTTCAGTCTCTGAATGCTCATGAACTCATGCTGCAAGCCTGTCATCTTCTCTTGGGCTGCACGGCTGATCTACAGTCCTTAAGGGTCTGCTCCCTGACTGCATGACAGGGGAGTGAATAATTTACTGGATCCTGAATTSTCTGAGAATCTAGAAAAAGCAGCTAAAAGAGCAGAGAGAGTGTCACAWCCAGCCAAACTTTTTCATGCCTGTCTTCCCCAAGTGTATTATGTTCTTGATATAAGTGGTGAAGCCCTGGATTTCAAATAGCCCAGTTTCTCTCTGACTTCATTGACAGCCCATTTTATGTTCACTTCTCTCATCACCTTAATAGAAAAATGGTATTTGCCTGTGCAGGGACAATTCTTTCTGGAAAGATGTGAATCCCAGGCAGTCCATTTACTTTCATTCTTTAAATCACCAAAGTCCAATAGAATTGTCAAGGTTTCCAAGAAGTAAAAGGGAAATGCTTTTCTGTGCCTAAATAACACTTGGAGCACTTGCTGTCCACTAAATGTTTGAGGGTGAATGTTGGTTTGCATCCAAGCAGGAAGATAATTTCTGACTGCCAAATRCATAAGGTCCTTGCATAATGTATCGTGCATAAGCCTGGCAGCAGGATCAGTTATCAGCTCACCTTAACTCACCAGTTTTAAAATGGACCTTGATGTGCTTTTGATCAGAGTTATATGAAAAATGGCCTGTGATGTTTGGGATGATTGGTGGATAATGCTGGAGTCTCCTCCAGACTATGCTCTTTATCACATGGGATCCTCTGARTTATAACTGTGTTAATATGAAAGCTGCAGGAGTGAGCGAGGGAAGGGTGGGCATGGCTGCCTGGATCCCAGCAAAAACTGAGTGGGTCTTGAGTCATCTCAGCAGTGAGGTCTGGAGAAAGAGTCCTCTGGGAAAGAGGAGGAAATGCCAAATGTCCTGGAACACTTCTACAGTGTGTGCACAAGCCACTGGGAGTATTCTCAGGATCTGCAACATTAAAGATTTGCATCTCAGCTTTGTCTGGGGCAACAAATTTCCAGGCTGTTTTGCTTTATTTACTTCATTTCCACTGTTGTACCAAGATAAAGGATATGGGTGTGAGCCCTGTACAGTGGAGCACCTGCATCCACCTGGTTTGTGACACTGATTTAATGTCYATTGGTTTCCATCAGCCTTAAAAAGAGTTGTATAGGGAGCAACTAAAATGAAGCTGGAGAGAATTAGTTCCAGTTTCAGACTTTGTTTCAGGAAAGTATTTAAGCATGTGCTTTTCTTTAAGTATGTGTTAAGTCCCTTGACTTCAGTAGGMTTTAAACACATTCTGGAATAGGGATTGTTTCCTGAATGGTCTGCTGGGGCTGRACTGACCCTGCCTTGATCCAACCTTTTGTGCTTCCAGCCATTATTCAGTAGAAGAGAAGARTGACTTATCAGCCTTAAACCAGATAAATTGTATCCCCAGTAGCAGAGTTCCCTAGGGGTAAGAAAAACACCTGGATCATTCTGTCTAGGGCYTGTTTTATACCCAGTTACCCCCATGCTGTGGCCCATAGTACAGAAAGGTTACATTTGAAATGTCATTGGTCATAGACTTTTACTGAATGTGCTGCTCCTGGTTTTGATTGTAAATAACAGAGTTGTTGTGTTGTGGGCATGTTTCAGGTGTGCAGCGTGTTAGAGAGCCTGGAGCAGGAATACAGACGGGATGAAGACTGGTGTGGAGGCCGAGATAAACTTGGACCAGCAGCTGAGATAGACCATGTCATCCCTCTGATCAGCAAACACCTGGAGCAGAAGGAGGCTTTTCTCAAGGTCCAATTCTAGTTCTAATAAGTCAGGAAAACTCTCCATTACACAGACTATTTAGAGTAGTTGGCGTGTTTGAAAAGATGTTCTGAGCTGTAATTCTAGTTCAGCTGCTGGCTGGCTGTTTTACTTGTTATAGCTGGGGTAATAAGCATGATTATCAATACATGTCTCAGGGAGATGTCATCAGGACCAGTTAGGTGCTGTTTGTATTGCACTTGCAGGATGTTAGTTGTTGTGCTGGTTCAAAGTTCAGTTCTTTAAATTGCATTATAAATGACAGGTATTATACATCATTTTGGTGTCGGCTTGTACAAGCTATCCAGCATTTCAAATTTTGCTCTCCAAACCAAAAAGTGAAGAGTTAACAATAACTGAAGCAATTCTGTCTCTGCAAGGCAACACCAGGATGGAGACAGAGATTCCTTCCTGCCTTCCAGGTGCTGCTTTGGAAGAATTGGGRAGCTGACAGGCTGACAAGTGAACTRTCAGCCAGTCTCCCACCTGCCACTAAAACTGATACACAACGTGGAACTACACTTGCAGTSAAGGACTTAGAAATTATGCCTCTAGATTTGTACGCTTTTTGAAACAATGTGTACTTTTCTTGAGAGATGGGTTAGGTTGGTTGGACAGAAAATGTGTGAGGTACCAGTTCTTTACAAACAGTCGGTTTATTATTGGCATTAATCTGCCTTAATATAAAAATRAGTGACTGTATTAAATATTACTCAAGTTTTAATACATCTGTGAGAACTGTTAGTTTATTAGCTGGGTTTATTGATTCTTAGCTGGAGTTCTCATCTTCCCAGATGAGAGAGAGCTTCTCCTTGCAATATAAGCAAGGATTCCCTTGGGTCCCTGTTGCTTTCATCTTTGCTGATTCTTGTTTGGTGGGGGCTGTTCTCCCTAGGCCTGCACCCTGGCCCGGAGGAAYGCCGAGGTGTTCCTCAAGTACATCCACAGGAACAACGTCAGCATGCCCGGAGTGGCGAGCCACACCAGGGGACCCGAGCAGCAGGTCAAAGGTGGGTGCAGCCTCCARGCTTTGGGTTGCCTTTCCTCTGCTGCGTGGTCATCCTAAGTCCGTGAACATGCTCAGAAGGCAAAGCATGTTCTAGCCTCATTTCCTTTGCCAGATTACTCTGCAGCTACTCTTGCTCTGTGCTGGTTTCCTGTGCATGCGGTTTGGGTTCTTTGTTTTTGGGGTTTTTTTAAGCCACCCCTTTTGAATCAATGCTTGTTTTTAAGAAGTGKGATCTTGGCCTCTCTGCTTTTGGGAACAAGGTCCAGGCAAAGTGGTTAARTTCAGCATTTCATAGCTTATTTCTGTTTGCTCAAAGAATCCCTCATCATGCAGATGTTTTCCTTTGCCCTGCAGCCATCCTGAGCGAGCTGTTGCAGAGGGAGAACCGGGTGCTTCACTTCTGGACCCTGAAGAAGCGGAGGTTGGATCAGTGCCAGCAGTACGTTGTCTTYGAGCGCAGTGCCAAGCAGGTAGTGTGGAAACCCCACCTTGTCTTTCTGTCCCTGGCAGTGTGTGAAGTGTCCTGGATCATGTAATGCCTCTCTGTGGGGCTCCTGTTGCAATCTCAAGTTGTGTTTAAACACTGTACCTTTGGAAAACATGGCAAATACAGATTTTTGAAACAAGATAATTCCAAAACCTAACAAGATTCTGCATTTTTGTCACCTCTGATTGATTGCTATATTGGTTCCATTGTTTGAAAATAAATAGAAGAGTAAACTGGTTTTGCTGAACTATTTCTGAATGAGAAAACTGCTTTCCCTGCAGATTTCTGCATATATAGGTAGATTTCCCTACACTGCTTTTTGTCCTAGGAAACACAGAGTACTTCCATCTGCTTTCATTATTTTCTTTTTATTTGTTCCTGAAAAGTGTTTTTGTATATTGAGTATTAAGTCCCAATGCATTTGATATCTTTTATTTGGAAGGAGTTTTTTGTTGATTTTTTTTTTTGTCAGAGGATTTGTTCTTGAAATACAAAGACTGTTTTGTTTCTCCTTTGGTGTTTTTGACATTCACAGGCCTTAGACTGGATCCAAGAAACAGGCGAATATTACCTCTCTACTCACAACTCCACAGGGGAATCAGCAGAAGAAACTCAGGAACTCCTGAAGGAATATGGGGAATTTAGAGTACCTGCCAAGGTAAACAGTGACTTTAATCTAATTATGCCATCTGTAGTCTGTATTTATGGTCCTGTTTCAATGCCTTAAATGTCTGTAATAATATTCTCTTGGTTTTATAGTTGCCCTCTAACAGTCCTAGCTGTGAAGATAAATGTCTTTTGAGAACTTTTAGCAAGACATAGGCACAAAAATGAGGTTTTCTCCACCTTGGTTAGTACTAGTTATAGAAAACTTTTGTTCTGACCAGAAAGAAGAGAAAGTCCATTTGCATACAGAGTTCACAGCAACCTAATGAAAGATTCCATCCTCAATCATTCCAGAGTGGTGTAGAGTGAGTAATTGATCCGAACACATCCAAGGTCACGTTGGACTCCTGGTCTCTTTTTCTGACATTAAAACCACAGTTTGTTTCATTAATTCCAGCTGGGTTGATCACAGATGATCACTTATCTCATTAGAAATAATCTGCTGATCCCAACAAAATACTTTAAATAGATGAGTCTTTAAACTTTGCGGTGAACATTTCTTAATACAAAACCGCACTACCAAGAATATATTAATTTATGTGAAGCAATTCTGGGAAATCTGGTGGGGTTTACAGAGGARTAGTGATTGGATCTGCTTCAGACAAATTAGTTCAAACCATAGGTAATTCACAGACAGTGAATCCTCAGGAGTATTAGCAGTCTCTGATAAGGATGTCAATAYAGAGTTGGAGTGCAGGAGGACCATGGCTTTGGTATTGTGTAGCTGCGTTTCACTGTGTCCTGAAATTGATCTTCTGTAATCCTTAAATTCCTCGTTAGGCTGTCTGTGCTTATATGGGTTKGATTCACAGCCTTTGTGGTGTTCTTGTCCCCTTCTTTTAGCTTAGCTTGCATGTTTCTGAAAATGTGAGATAACTAGCAGTAGACAGAAGGTAATTTCCTCAGACAGGACACATGTGCCATTCTTTTAACTATTTCTGAATTCTAACCATGCATAATTACTCCACCTGAAATTATATTCTAGTTTATAATTTAATTTTTGTCAGAATAATCCAAATTCATAATGAAGTTTCCAAACCATTTTGACTCTTGACTTAGCCTAGGATTGCATTTTAGACCTTGTTCATTATTAACCATTACTGGCTGTTTCTTACACTGACACATCTACTCTTCCTCCCTTGGGCTGACCTACTGCTCTTACTGCTGACATAGAGTATTTTCACTGTCATGTCCAATCTGGTAAATGAATGGTATTTCCAGACTGGTATTACTCACAAATTAAGGTCTATCTGAAAGCCCTCCTGATCCCAGTAACTTTCTGTCCAAACCAATTGTTTGGAATGCAAAATCACCCATAGCTTTTGGGAATGAAACATCCTTTAAATACAACAGGAAGCTACATTTTTACATCTCCTAGCCTTGCTTAGGCACTCATTTAATTTGTTAGGATGACAGCTGATTCTGCTGTGAATCTGTGATGGTGGTGAAATTTTTTGAGTTTAGTTTTGTTTGAAGTTTCTGGATGCTTTCTGGTCTGACATGCATTTGTCCATTTGTGGTCAGATCATTGGTCAAGTATCTAACAGCATGTCCTGCTTCAGACATGGTGGGAAGTTCTTTCTATCTTGGACAAGAAGCTTGACACTGCCTCATTTCTTGATATAGATTTGGAATCAGACCTAAAGTTTATAACTGGGCCTTTGTGCCAGTTTTAACTAAGGGGCAGGCAGAGCCTAAGTGGAATAGAAAAGACCTCTGGAAGGTTTGAGGGCTCAGCATATGCTTTGGAGTTCARGCATCATTTAGCTGATAATGTTCTGACTGGAACTAAAATACCAAGGGAGGATTTTATAGTAGACCATGAATTTGGATTTAAATTCTGTTTGTTTTTGAAGCAGAGTAGTAGTGACTCAAAATCTCTTCCTGGCTGATAAATGGTGTATTAATGACCTGCCTACCCAGATCTGCAGACCCACCAGGTGTAGACTCAGAGTAACTTGGTGTATTTTATGAGGCATGATTTTTAAATCTAGTCTTTTACTCCAGGGCTCACAAAAGAAAAATTTTTGCTTGTGGGAAGGAGTTGTGGTTTCATGTTTTACGTGTTTGTGTCTGCGTGGTTTCAAAAACTTGACTTTTTCTATATTCTGCAGCTTTGTAAGTGTCCTTATAAAAATGTCATTCCTTTCATGTTTTACTGAAAAAGTTTAAAGTGTCTGATTCTGTATGAGATGAAGTACAGACACTCTTTTAATGATGTATAAAAATTGTGATCTTCCTTTGACTGCTGTGTGAGTTAAAAGCAAAGGAAATAATAATAAAACATAACCARTGACCATATTTTGGGCAGCAAACAAAGGAGAAAGTGAAGCTCCTCATCCAGCTGGCTGACAGCTTTGTAGAAAAAGGACATATACACGCCACRGAAATTAGGAAATGGGTCACCACCGTTGACAAACGCTACCGGGACTTCTCTCTCAGGATGGGGAAATACCGCTACTCCCTGGAAAAAGCCCTTGGAATCAATCCAGAGGTACTGAAAAGCCATGTCCTGGTGGGGTTTTATACCAGAGTCACAGAGGAGGGTGAAACCTGTGGTGTGAATGCTGCAGGTTTTTGAGTGCCCCCTAGAAACACTGAAAACTGAGCCAATCCACCTGGCCAAGCTCAGAACTGCTTCTGGGGAGAGAGGGTTAAAGAGTTTTCCCTGGTAGGTCAGTGATGTGAGGAGGAAAATCAGAAGGATTTTCTAAAGAAATGTTTACACCATTTTTTGGGAGACCATATGGCTTTTGGGGCAGGGGGGACACATTATTTGAATAAAAGTTTGTTAATTTTGGTGTAAACTGTAAATCCTGCTCCCACACCCCTATTTTGAGTCAAATGCAAACTTTGACTGTAAGTTTTCATTCTCTCATCCTTTAACTAACATAAACAATTGTTCCCCAGCTCATCTCTGAGCTTGTTTAGGTGAAATCGAGCAACATGAGAGACAAAAATTAGGATCTCCTGCTGTTCCCTGGCCATAGTATTAAGRCAGAATGCCAGAAGCAGGAACACTYAAAAACCTGGTTTACAGAGTTCTTACCACAGCCTGGAAAACTATTCCATGGTAAATGGCCATTGAAAGTTGTCTCTGCAAGGTGCTCTACTTTGTCAGACTATTTTTTTAGGAAAACTCATACTAGGGAATTAATTTTGATATGAAGGAGTAAGGGTATTTTGACTTATCAATATCGATTCCTAGKTAGGAGAAACAGTGATTACAATAAATATTGTTGATATTTTTTTTCTCTCTCACCTTCTTCTGCCTTCTCACAGTAGTTCTACTCCYCTCTGAATTTCCTGCTATTTGAAATTATCTTACTGTTGTCCCTTTTTGCCTCTTTGATCTCATGAACATACTGCACTTTGCACAACAGTAGGATTACAATGAAGTTAAACTCTGTACTTTTTTTCCCTAGGATAACAAAGACCTAGAACTAGATATTATTCCAGCAAGTCTTTCAGACCGGGAGGTAAAGCTGCGAGATGCAAATCATGAAATCAATGAAGAAAAAAGGAAGTCKGCCAGAAAGAAAGAGTATGTTCCCAAACACCCTGTCTGCCATGGCACATTATCTGATAATTGTATTATTATCTGATAAGGAATTATTATTGTGATATTTATATGACCAGAACTGAATGATAGTCCTGTAACTTCTTCCAGCTGCAGAACTGTTGAGATAAATTTGCAGGTTTAGGACAGAAGTTGTTACTGTTAGAGAATTTTGGAGCACAAAGGTTGAATTTCTTTTGGTTTTATTTAGAAGTTACTTTTGGAAAGGGAAAGCAGTGAGTCAGGCACTTGGATTAACCCTGCTGTTGTGGAGTTGCTGATTTCTTTCTGGTTGTATGTAGAAACTAAAATGAGCAAGAAAAAAYAAAGAGCATCTTTAGAGTCTAAATATTATCTAAATGTCAGTGACGCATAAATTCACTTGAAGTTTAGGTTCAGATTTCAGCGAGTGTAGGACTGAGAGAACTGGAAATAGTTCATACTAGAGGAAATACCTGAAAATGCTTGTTGCAATTCAATCTGTAAATAGTCTATTTTCACAGTATTTCTTAATTTCTGTGTAAGAATATTGGGAAAGTATTTCTATTTAAAATACTTGTCAGCMCTCTGTAATTCTTACTACAGTGCATAATTGATAAGAAATCATTTATACTTTAGGAGATGTTASACTTGGTCTGCCTGTGGCATATTTGCAAAACATTGGGTATGTCAGCTTGGAGAGGCCCAGGCTCRGGCACTGCAGATGYCATTATTGCATTTCCCAGCATCTGGATTTTCTCTGGTCAGACACCAAGCTGTTGAAGTCTCTTCAAAGTAGTGTCTCCCAAATCCATGTGTATTGTCACAGAAGAGAAAGTTTTGGGGTGACTTCTTGGTGATTGTCAGCAAAGATCCAAATGTTGGTGAATCACAATTCCTTCGTCCTGGGGGGAAATAAATTCTGAGAATCAGCTGGTGGTTAAGGATGGGCATATAGAGAGTAAATSCCACAGACTCAGGGTTGCAGAAATACAACTTAATGGGATTTTATGCAGAAAAGATTTTTAGAAAATAACTCTACCAGGGACTGAAGTATGAAGTGGCATTTCGGTCATGGACCTGCAAGGTGCCAAGTAAAGCAGCTGAAGGTCTAGCATGGAAATATCCTTATTCCTTAACACAGCAGGAAAATGTTTTGTATTCTGTTCATTGTGCAAATACTTACATTGTCCATAACACCTAAAATACTTTCTTTTTTTTTCAGATTCATTATGGCTGAACTGCTGCAGACAGAAAAAGCTTATGTCAGGGATTTACATGAATGTTTAGAGGTAAGTTATGGCCAAGGAAAGTATTTCCAGGAAGCACATGTTACCCTCTGCAGTGGTGATGTTCACTTCAGTGCAAAGGCTGTGCACTTTGATTCATGGAGCATTCCCTCAAGGATTCAAATCTATTCCTTTTAATCATCTTCTACTAGAGAAACTTCTGGATTTGCACAGTCAAATAGCTTGCCTAGCTGTTCARCTGTTCCTGAAGTGGATGGTGATATTTGAGGCAAAAACCAGAGTGTAATTCAGTGAAATCTGTCAGYTTTCACATCCCTACAGTCTGACAGAGATTTTTATGTATCTAATGCTACTGAAGTGGCAAATCTGGCTTATCTTTCAACTAATTCTGCCTGCAGTTTTTGGACACCATCAGGTGGACAGGAAGAACAGCTGTTGACATGTTTCTGCTTTTTCTTCAGACACCTTCAAAGTGTCAGCACTTCAGATTTTTCTGGAAAGCTTTCTGTAACACTGGAAAATACTTCTTTTTTAGCTTGTTTGTTTAATCTCAAAATACATAGTTCCTTTTCAGCCTGTGTCTTTGGCAATAAAACAGGGAAATCTATTCTTTTCCACTGCATTTATTAACAAAACTAAGAGTTTCTGGTGTCTTCCAGACCTACCTTTGGGAAATGACAAGTGGAGTGGAAGAAATACCAGCTGGGATCCTTAATAAAGAACACATCATCTTTGGCAATATTCAGGAGATCTATGACTTCCATAACAAGTAGGTTTTCCTAACACTGAAGTTTTTTTTTAATGTTGGGGCACTTGTGCATCTTTGAGTTGTCTGGAGAGAGCACCARCAGTACAGTGCACACAGGAGTGCAAAGTAATTGATCCAGATTTGAAAAATATTGTTTGATTTCTTGTTTATTTTCTTTTACAAAAATGAATTGCAACTTAGTTCCAACTTTCCCTTCAGCTGATGAACAGTGTTAGAGTTGTGGTATAGCAGTGCTTTGCAGTGTGACAGATGATTTCCATCTCACAGCATGAGATCTAGCCTGGATGCTTGCCTGTCAAAAAKAGGATCTTGGAAAACACGAGGGGGAAAGAATGGAATTGTTGGCCTGAGCTGGGTTCATAAGTAGCTTTCTGCCACTTCTTGGAGACTTTGTGTATTTAATCTGTAACTAACAGTTCTCCATCTTGTTAAAATAAGGCTGTGTACCAGGTCAGCTTAGAGGTCATTGTTTCCATGTCATAATGTGAGTGCAGCAACACTTACAAACTTAACATTTAAGGGTGCTGAATCCAACAAGTCTGAATTTCAAATCTGTCTTCAGCTTGCACATTAAAACCAAAACAGTTTTAAAAACAAATCAGAGAATCCTTCCCTRTTCAAGTTCTGGGACATTTTAAATGCTCAGACAGATAAATGTGCTGTCACATACCCATAAATGTGGCCCAGCAGAGCCTGCCATGGTTTTGAGCAAGCAGCTTCAAAGCATATCAGGGTGGTGATTCAAACTACATATTGCCTTAGAAAAACCTTTAAATAATAGATGAATTGAGTTCCAGCACACAAGAATTGCCCTGTCATACAAACATTCTCCTCCCATTTGAAACTATGCTAGGATCACCCAAATGCCTTCCCATTTTCCCTCTCTCTGTGGTGATATGTTTTTGTTTGGGAGATCCTGAGTGATTTACCCTCCTTTTTGACTTTCCCCTGTTCCCAGCTGCCATCCCTTCAGCCCCTAGTCATGTCCCAAAGCTTCTCACTGCTGTCATTTCCCCTTTTTCTGACCCCTCCTCCTGCAGCCTGCTACTTCTGCAGAATCCTTTTTTCTCTAAAACGTCTTTCTAGCGATGCTGAAATAAATTTCCCCTGTCACCTCCACCATCATTCTCCACAGCCTTCTCCTTTRGCTGGTGATGTTATGGCATCTTCCAGCCTGATTCAGAATCTGTGTCCAAAGAAGGGCAACAAAACTGGTGAAGGGTCAAGAAAACATGTCCCAGGAGGGGCAGCTGAAGAAACTCCGTTTCACATTCCTCTTTCCACCCAGGCATTGCACAGGGCTCTGTGTGCAAACAGAGGTGTCACTCATGGTACAAGCTGTTGGGAGAGAGAGTTGATTAAAAAAAATGTTTTGTAAGTTTACTACTTAGCTGTGAAATGTTGAGCTTTTTTAAATTGTTGTCCTTTGCCCAGTGCTGAGTTGGGTGTTGGAAAGCTGGCAGCTTTGGGCTTCTSTTTTTGCTCTTCTTCTGAACCACTACACAAGAACTCTTGGAAGATCTGTGTTCAAATATCACTGCAGTCCTTTACACACTGCCTCCCTGCTAGGGATTGCTTCTTTTTCCTTTCTAGAGGAGCCAGGCCTGACTGTACTCAAAAAACAAAGCATAGCTTAGCAAGAGACACTCTTTTCCACTGACTGGACACTTGAGTAACCTCATAATCAAGATACAAGTATTGATCATTAGCACTGATTAAYTCATTGGTTATCCTGCATCTCCTGGGTGTTTGTAACTAATTACATTGGTGTCTTCTTTTTTCAGCATTTTCCTAAAAGAGCTGGAGAAATATGAACAGCTGCCTGAGGATGTGGGCCACTGCTTCGTCACCTGGGTAATGAGGCTGCTGCTTCTCATTATTTATTCAAATTAATTCCTCCAGCAGAGATGGGAACAAGCTGGGAATAGGTGCAAGGGTTATGTCCTCAGCAATGAGTGAGATTGGGAGCTAGTCTGGAACCACAACTGCTTTGTCCTTTACCTGCCCCAGGCTGAAAGGTTCCTCCCAAACCCCTTCTCCTCAGCAATAGTGTGAAGGCTTTCCAGAGCCTCTCTCCTTGTCCTGCCCTGACCAGCACAGCTTTTACCTCTGCTGGTTTCTGTTTAGCAGGACTTCATCAAACCAAACCTGGTTTTAGGGGTGACATTCATTTCCCTGTGAAAGGCCCTGGGAGGACAGACATTAAAAATCTTAGTATACCCTCCTTAAAGAATTTTAGTCATGCCCTGAGGACCCAACAAAGGCATGAAGAACATATTTTATTGACTCTTTTTTTCCAGAAATTAGTGTCAAATTTCTGAGCCACCATGCTCTCTCATTCCATTATGGAATGCCAGGGTAATTTCCAGCAGGACTTTGAAATCTTGATGCAAAGTCTTAGTGAGCATAGGAGGCTCAGGGAATTGACTGCAGTATTTATCTGTATGAAAGCTGTTCTCTTTTCAAAATATTTACCAGTGAAGCCAGCTATCTTTGTGTTTTGTCTGGTGATTTTATTCCTATATCAAAGCTAAGAATTAGTATTTTTAAGAGTAATTTTGGAATATTTTTACTTACCAAAAGAAATGAGAATGTTTGGATGATTTCAGATGGACTTTTAATTTAAAAACATATCACAAATCTTGATGAAATTGATTCAGAAATATCATTTATAAAGAGCAGGTTACCTGTTTAGGAGAGATGACTGCATTTATCTATCATTCTGTKCAAAATCTTCATGGTACTTTTAAGACACCATCTCATCAAAGGTACATGACCAGAGCTGTGTGTGTGGGTACAGACATACATACAAAGCTGCCTGCCCAATTTCAGGATCCCATTGTTTAAATACCTGAAATAAAAAAATGCAATAGCAGTAAAATGAAAACATCCTCCTCTTTTATTTACCTCCCTTCTCTTGAGGCCAGTGTAATGTAATAAGAGGTGAGAGTGCACAGTTGCTTTTGATTTCTGCTTGAAAGTAAACAAATTAGGAAATGAAATGCAGAACATTTCTAGCACAACATAAAATTTGAGCTATTGAAGTCTTAACCGAGGGCGGAAAAGCAAGTCTGAGCCAAGTGTCACAAATTTCAAGTAAAAAATGTTGGCCAGTTTAAGCTAGATGGGTCACTTGCCCAGTTTCTAGACTGGCTTTATCTGCAAGTAATTGATAGAGCCAGCACTGCATGATTGAATTTTGATACCTTCAAACTCTTGTGTAACATCATTAGAGCTCTTAGGAAATTATTTTGCAACTAGATTTAGACCTTCTCTCTATGATATTTGTTAAAGAATGCCTCCCACAGYCCTGAGAAGTGCTCAGGTAAGGTATGAATCTTAAATACTTCCGTTCTTAATTTACAATTCTTGTGTTGCTTGGTGGCAGAGTTGGGGGGGTGGGGGTTGTGGGTGTGTGGGAGAGAGTTGTCACCTGTATTTATCCTGGTGTGCYTTAATAAAAACTGTGGGAGCAGAGAAAGGGCTTATCTTGCTTTTCCCTTGATATTTGTTCTCACAGGCAGATAAATTTCAGATGTATGTCACCTACTGCAAAAACAAGCCTGACTCCAGCCAGCTCATCCTGGAACATGCAGGGACTTTCTTTGATGTAAGCAGMCATTGCTCTTTTCCTTCCACCACCTGGTGCAGTTGAAACTTCTTTTTTTCACACTTGAGGAGTGGGTTCCTTTCTGTGCCTTGGCATTTGGGTTTTTCATTCCACTGCAGATATCACGTGCTGTGATAGGCTCTGGTGTGATGTGCAATCTTCATCAGTGAGGTGAGGCGTGGAGACACATTCTGATGGGAACCTCTGGGCATTTTTCAGACCAAATCCTTTCTAAAGATCTGGTTTAGATGTAATCTCTATTTCTGGGTTTAGTGGTGAAATGAAAATCTCAGATTCAATTGTGTTTTATTGTGTGGCCTGAAATCCCCCATTCCAGACTGATACTTCTCCTCCTGTTCTGCAGGTTTTACCCAGCCTGTTGCACATTTACTTCATTGTGCTAATAAGGAACTCACTGACTCCAATTAGACTGTTTCCCATACAAGCACTAGAGCTGGTGATAAATGTTTTTAGGCTCCGATGCCAATTTTGTAGACTGAGAAAAATCATTCAAGTTTTTGAGTACCTTTACGCTAAGTTCTTCCTCTTATTTAACCTCTCCCATTTTGCCATGCTTGTCTGTTACCTTATAGCTTTAATTAGTTGCCTTTCTAGAAAAGAAAAGGAGTGCTAGGACCTCTTTACCAAAGCATTACAAATGTGGCTCAGCAGGGTCCAAGCTCTGATGGAGTTGGCAGCTGCCATAAATCAGCTCCTCTGGGGTTTGTGCCCATGGTTAGAGCATCTCTGTCTCACTCGACACCGAAAGGTCTCACACGAGCCGCAAGAGAAGTGATGAGCACCTTTTTCTTTTGCTTTGTTACCAAATGGTCTGAAAGTGGAATGGAACTGAAAGGGATTTCCCAGGAGGTGGCGCTTGAGGCTGTTGAATGGTTTATAGGGGCTGGCGACTCGTGGACGGTCGGAGCCGCCTTAGGCATCCATCAGTGTTGTTTGCACAGGTTAAAAGCGTTTCCCCTGCTCAGCTTTTCCATTCCAGCTCTTTAAAAATGCTGGAAAGCTGCCCGATATTGCTTGGTAGCAAATATCCAAATGTCAGCATCTGCTGTTTTGCCAGGGGGAGGTGTTTGCCTTCCACAGGTGGGGAGCTACCCAGTGGTGCAAAAGAACTCTGACTATCCCCTCAAAAAATCCTCACTGAGGCACTCCATCTGAGTGACTGAGGTAGTGACAAGTACCTGTAGAACCTTCTTATCTTGATCTTGGAGTGGTTCACTGCCAGGCACAAAGAATACAGAGAAAATAATTGATTCTTTTCTTCCAGGCAGAACCTGGAATTTCCCGAAACACCGTGATGATGAGAGTGAATTATCAAAAATAACACCCCTTAGCAGAAAGCCTGCCTGAAAATCACAAGTATACTTCAAATTGCATAAGCTTTCATAAAAAGCCAYCTTTGAGATGAAAACAAGCAGTCCCTGTAATCTGTTTGAAACCTTCAAGTCTGTGGAAAACTTGCAGCTACAGGGCTCATTGCAAGGGTTAACTAATTAGGAAAAGGAGCAAAGCTAAGTGACATATCTYATTTGAAACCATGAAGAGAATTACTAGTAATGCTGATAGCTGYGATGTTTTCAGGATGTGAGTGAAGCCATGTATGTAGAGAAAAGCAATTTATTTTATTGAATCGGTTGAGACAGGTGGAAAACAATGCACAAACTCTCARCTAGAAAATGTGCCTTGTTTATCCTATGGCATTAGTCTAATAAAGCATAAAGATTACCATCTTCCCTTCCTGCAGATGGYGTCTTGTTTATAAAATTCAGTAGTTGTTGGTGTGGTTATATTAGCTGGAAGTTGCRGAGGGATTTGAAAATAGTGTGTTTATTCTGACATAACTGCAGTAGACTTACCAATTTCACTCTTTCMGTTTTTGTGTGTCTTGTTCATCATTACTTAAAACTGTGTTCTTTATTCAGTACTTTCAAAGATAAATGATGCCTGCCATGTCTAGCAAATTTCAATATTTGTAATACCATATAGTTCAAGCTAGCAAGGTATATTTATGATTACCAGCATATGTTAGCTCTCAACTTCAATTGGTAGAATCAACATGTTATTGAGGTAATCAAGTTGATTTTAGTGTCTTTATTTAAGCAAACTTYGATCTTTGGGGCAGAATTTGGTTGAGTCATGTACCTGCTTCTGCTATTTTGAATATTTTTTTTTGCTTTGAGTCTTGGAAAAAATCTGGTTTTATAGTTAAGGAATCTCAGGGCACTTTTGATTTGCATGACCAGCATGGAACATGGTAAAGMTTATTGACTTTGGCAGCATTGCAGAACGTGGTGTTTCTGCATGGATGAGATTCTTAGACAATTTCTCTGCTGAGCCAGTATCCCCTAGAAAATGAGCAAAGGCATGAACAGTTTCTCCTTACTAATATTTTTTCAGAAATTGCTCATCAGATTTGTGTCATGCATYGCAAAACCTAAATGTTTCATGGGAGTTTTCGTGCTGAACCAATCTACTTAGCAGGTCTTTGGTCTGTACACCCAGTTCAGGATGCGGTTTGTTCTCCAACCTGTAACTGTGCACAATTAGATGACATCCAAATTTCTGAATMTATATATTTACATTAGATGACATCTAAATTTGTGAATCTCTTTATATATTTGATACAAAATCTGGATTTGTTGTCATTACCTCTTGGCCAATTCATCAATTCTTATGGTATGAAATYGTATTTAAGTATTCCTGGCTCCATGTTGTTCATCCAAGGACTTCTGAGGATCCCGTGCTGCCTCACACAGAGGATATTTTTGGTGTTTTTCTGGGATTGTGTAATTTTGTGTAAGACTGCACATTGATCCTGGTCTGCAGCTTGTCTCGTTTGCAGTGCATAACTTGAGCACGTGGTGCCTGTCAGATACCTTCATTTCATCCAGGGTGATGGACAATAATGTGAACCAAGCTTGCTTTAAACAGTAAGCAGGCCCAAGTGGAGAACACAGAGCCCTGAGTCCAGCTTGCTTCTGCTTCAAGGCTCAGACACCTCTGTGCTTTTGTTCCTCAGAGGTGAGTGAGACATGTCTGCTCTGCCTGCCCAACCTTCACAGACCTCTCTCACCTCCATCTCCACCCTCAGTGAGTCCAGACCTCTCCAGATGTTCCAAAGCCACCCCAGGACACAYTCCAGGCTGCCTTCTTACTCCAGAGCTTCAGGGACCAGAGGGAGGAGCTGCAGRGAGGATGTCCCTTCCTAGCAGTGCACTTGGCAAATGCCACTCCACCAACCCACCGTGTCTGTGCACATTCTGACCAGGSAGCATCTCTGAGAGCATCTTGCTGAGAGCATGCCCTGCTGTTCAGAGAGCTGGGGGGAAGGAGCAGTGCTAACCTCATCACTCAGATCMTGCAAAAACAAGTGTACTTTGCCAGCTCCAGGAAGTTCACAGATGTGGWCGAGGCCTTGCTGGCTCCTGCCAGAGTCCCAGCCATGTGCTCTGCAGGCACAGTTCCTGTGTGAAGTCAGCCATGACTCAGCTTTGTGCAGACTCCATTAACCCCCAAACAGAGCTCCTTCCCTTTTGGGTCTTGTTCATGGCAGCAGAGCTATTTAAGAAAAAAACAAAACTTGTTTAGCAAAAAAAACCCCAAACCAGCAAAGCTAAAGTCTGTTGGCACGTTGTGTGAAAAGTGGATGYTTTTGCATCCCAGCATTAAGACAAACACTGGAGCTAAAAAGCAGCAGTAACCTCCTTAGTACTCAGCAGAAAATCAGATTGTATATAGAAAGAAAAATCTCTTCTTGGAGGCTCTTCCATCTTCATCTTCTGCAACTTCTTCACTTTGCAGTCTCAAATTTACCCTTCCAGTAGCTGAAGAAAAGTCCCATTCCCCTTTTCCATTTGCTTCCTTAGGAATCAAGGATATTCTGGTGGCCAGGAGCAAGGCAAGGCATGCCCAGGGCCTGGCAGAGACAGAAGGGTTTCCAATCTGTTCTRTTTCAGCAGAGAATCTGCCCCTGCAGGGCATTAGTTTGGAGTCTTTTTGATGGCTAAATATGTCCTTTAGGGTCCTGTAGGATTTTCAGGAGCTCCAAACTCCCCATGGAACATTTGGAAGGAGGCAGCTGGGCTCTTTGCAGCCCGCAGAACTTCACGAGCGCATTCCACTGCTCAGCCCAGACAGTTTGGGTGAGGCTTAGGTGACGAAGCAGAAGTGTTCAGTGCTGTAACTGATCATAAGGGTATCTCTGCTGGCCCCCAGGTGCCCCTCAGAGCAGAGCAGCTCTGTCAGCACCATTTCAGACCTGTTATTCCCATGTGGAAATTTCAGCTACCCCAAGGCTCTCAAATGGGACTCGATGCCTATGTTTAGACAGCTAAATTACACCCTACGCATGCAATTTAATTTAATGTCGYTTCATTTTAATTGAATGTTAAGACTCTGCTTTCAGCCTTCATAGCTAGGGGAAAGCAGATGACATGACAGGTAAGTCCTATTTAAATCTAAGCCTGTTTACCCAGCAGAGCCTTAGCCTGACTTGCAGAGGGACCCTGCAGTTTAGGTGACCTTGGGGGAAACTCTGCAGCTTATTGCCAGCCTCTCTGAAACCACACTCACTTGCGTGTGAGCTTAAAAAGAGTTAAAAACCAAAACATAGAAATGCAGGGATCCAGAGCTAAAATTAGTTATGGGTGGTTCTGTCTGGCAGGGGGTTAATAGTTTTCCATGACTGACTGCTGTTTTTATCCCTTCTAGGAAATTCAGCAAAGACACGGGCTGGCCAACTCCATCTCTTCTTATTTAATCAAGCCTGTCCAGAGGATCACAAAATATCAACTCCTTCTGAAGGTACCTCAGTGAGCTGCACAGATCAGCTCGTGCAGGGCAGTTCACAGGTGTCATGAGCTGCCTTGTGCTTAGGGGAGCTGCTTTATCACCTGTAAGCAGAAGGCCCCAGAAATCTTCCAAGAGCACAGTCTCCCCTGAGAGCACCTTGTTTTGTCTCATTYTATAGTTGTTCCCATTGGATCCCTGCTATTTGTGAGCAGTGGGGTTTTGTCTCTGGAGCAGCTGCACGTACCAAGCAGCASAGCTGGGTGAGCAGAGTTTGCTCATGGGTGTCTGCTTTGCTTCCTGACAGGAGCTGCTGACCTGCTGTGAGGAGGGCAAAGGGGAGCTGAAGGATGGTCTGGAAGTGATGCTCAGCGTCCCAAAGAAGGCCAACGATGCAATGCACGTCAGCATGCTGGAAGGTGGGCAGGGACYGGGGCAGGGTGGGACCTGCTGAGAAATGGAGTTTGTTTTTAACTTCTGGTGAAAGTTAGTAGAGATGGACTGTAGAATGGTGTTGTTTCATCATAATTTTTAAGTACCTCTTGGCTTCTTTCTGGTATTTCTCCTAAAGTCTTGAAAGAATAAAGCTGGCTAGGAAGTTTTGGGGTGGAGGTTATCTATGTATATCTTCTGTATGCGTATTTATGTACATATGTGTGTATATGCATGCATGTACATATGCAATGTATATATATATATATATATATATATATATAAATTTAGCCAAAACATTGCTTCTCCATTAAACAAAAAAAATCCCCTCCTGAAACAGTATCAGTTTAGCTGCTGGCAGCTGTTACAATTTTTGGATGAAAACATTTCTAAATACTGTTTCAACATTTCAAAAGTTCTGGTTTTCTGAGTCAAAACAGCTTGTATTTCAAAATGTTAGCATATTTATGCCAAAGATTAAAAAGAACTATTAAAAAAATTTGACGATTACAGAAAAAGAGTTTGATTGGCACAAAGKGAAGTCTTTTATTGGCTTATTATTGTGTAGAGTATTTTTAAAATGTAAMAATTTTGTTTTGGACTGAGATTCTTTATTATGTCTCGCACATTTTCTTGGCCTAGGAAAATAATTTCCAGCCTGGCTTAAGTAAAACCAAGAAACAAGCAGAGAACTAAAACAAGTAAAAAAGGATCTGGTGCCAGTMGCCAGGCAACACAGTATGCCCAGGTGATTAAAAATGCAGGAGGGCAAACTGAGTTTGTAATGAAGCGCATAGGATTTCTTTCAAAGCTGTTCTGTGTACAGTAACCACCACTGAAATCTTTGTAATATTAATTTTTGAGTAATTATTACCACACTTAAGCCGCAGCCTCATTTAGCACATATGATGTATTTGCCCCTGATAAAGTAATTATGTCACTGCAGTAGGAAAAAAAAGGAAAAGCAAAATATTATTGCTGGGGCAATGGATATCCATTATTGTACTTTCAGAATATGGGAAAAAAAAGAACCAAAGCAAACTCTTACTTCAAGTCCTTACTGCTCTGGTGTTTCTGTGAATTGCTCATCCCAATAATAAGTACAAGTGATTGTATTTTGTGGTTTTAGGGTTTGATGAGAACCTGGAYGTCCAGGGAGAGCTGATTCTTCAGGATTCCTTCCAAGTGTGGGATCCCAAGTCTCTCATTCGGAAGGGCCGTGAGAGGCATTTGTTTCTCTTTGAAATCTCTTTGGTGTTTAGCAAAGAGATCAAAGATTCTTCAGGACACACAAAATATGTTTACAAGAACAAGTTACTGGTAGGTGTGGCTGCAAAGCAAATATTCTGGGTGTTGTGTTTTCTGTAGATAGAAGCAGAGTTTAGGAGGTTCACATGTCCCCTGCTGGGCTGGGGATACTCCTGACTCTGAAAGGGCTGGCCCCAAGTCCTGCAGTCAGCGTGGAAGTCATCCTGCAGGGAGTCTGTAAAGGTTCAAGATAGCCAGTGTGAAGGGTGGGGGGAAAATGCAAGCAGGATCACTCCAGTGGATTTCCACTGCTTTTATCTGTGTGTAGCAAACAGAGATAAGATCCCATTCCCYGATCCTTCCCAGYCTCACCACTTMTTCCTGCAACTCCAAAATTTTCTCWAYTYRTGAAGCTTCATATATGTGMAATCTTTCCTCATCTCTCCTCCACACTAGACCTCAGAACTGGGAGTGACTGAACAYGTTGAAGGAGATCCCTGCAAATTTGCGCTGTGGTCCGGACGAACACCATCCTCAGACAATAAAACAGTGCTGAAAGTAAGTCTGTGCTGTTTCTTTGTCTTTAGCACTTCTAGTTCAGGCCTTGGGAGCCCTGAATGAAAGGTCAGTTTATTCCCTCCATGTCCACCTGGCTTCCATATCTGCCAGTGGGTCATGCCTGCATCAGGAGCATCTGAGCTCTAAGGCTTCAGTAGGGATCAGGACAGTTGTGCAGCCTTGCTGGAACTGCATCTCCTCTTCAGCCTGGGTTGAGCAGCTGCATGGTGGCTCAGGGCAGGTCTCAGGATGTGTGGCTGGGAGCTCTAATTCTCTTAGTCCTTTGCCACTGGGMTTATCAACAATGAACCTTTTCTGCAGCCCTCCAGAGCTGACAGCATTTCTGTCCAGTGAGTGTCTGCTGAAGAATTCACATTACAGTTGTTTTGGCTAAGGAAATCCCAGCTGTGCACTGATAACCTGTTTCCCCTCCACAGAGCATGCTGTATTGCTAGCATTAAATATATTTATCCAGAGCTTAGCTGCTTTGCTGCTGCTTGCCAAGTAGGTCTGGACAAAATGCTCTCAGTGCTCCTGGGGTTACCAGGTGCTCCAGCAGAAGCAGCAGTGCAGCAGAGAGGACAAACAGTTAATTGTGGCATTCATCAGCCAAACACAACTCCTCCACATAGGAAGTGACATGCTGAGAACGTGATAAAGTCTCTGTCTTTSTGCCTTGTGAAACTTTAGGCATCCAGTATTGAAACAAAACAGGAATGGATCAAAAATATCCGGGAAGTTATTCAAGAAAGGATCATTCATCTGAAAGGGGCTCTGAAAGAGCCAATTCAGCTCCCCAAGACACCAGCAAAGCAGAGAAACAACAGTAGAAGGTAACTTCAGTCATTGCCTACAACATGAAATCATTAGTGTTTTCTCAACCCACRGCAGTGTAGTGTCTGTGGACTTTTTACTGTTTTTTACTATAGTCAAAGCAGTTTTCATTGTCTTTGCTTTTTGTATATTGTCTTGGCAAAAGTAGCTGGAAAGCTTTTTTATGATATATATACAAAGATCTTTTATTTTATACTCATAGAGAGAAACAGTAAAAATTCTTCAAAGCCCAAGGTTATAGTTCTTTCCTAAAGTAGATTTTACTTCTTGTTTGAATAAAACCAAAGYTTTTTTCTTGTTTGGCTCATTTAATTGTTTGACAATGGAATTCATAGTTGATCCTGACAATATATTGAAGAACATATGTGAAGAATCTGTATTTCATCATCAAATACAGACTTGTTTCAGACTGTCAAGTAGTATTAAATTTTTTTTGTCAACTTGTTTCAACCYGGCATTAAATAGAAATTATAGATAATGAATTGTTCTTTCTGTTATGGCATTCCCAAAAGCCACCTGTAACTTGAGCATCTCAATTTCCTCATCAAATTTTATCCCTCTGTTACTTCAAGCTGTGTTGCAGAGACATCCAAAGTATAAGTAACCAAGGTTGCCCAGGGGACCTGTAGCAAAGCAGAAATCCAGACATTTCCTCTAAAAACRTGCWCCAGTACAGAAGYTTTCTAGTACAGAATGGAGATACTRTATTTTTTTCTYTGTCCCTAAATATGTATTTTGCATTACTTAAATATTTACTTTGAAMGACCAATAAAGATTTATGAGAACTTTATCTGTACAGCAAAAGGGAAGAAAATACCCTGTGTTAGCAGGCTCAAAGAGATAAATATGGAGAGCTCTATACTGTCCTTATCTGTGTTTGGATTGCATTTTTATGGCTTAGAATTACATTCCTAAAGAAATTTAAACAAATATGATTATGTACAAATCCAAACCTCATGGCTAAAGGTGACATCATTCTAAATTGCAAGAGCTACACAGCGTCAYGGGCTGCCTCAGTGAGGTAATTTTAGCCCAAAGCCAGCTCTGTCCTGCTGACTCAGCACTTGTCCACTCCTCCTGTAATGCTGTGCTCACTCTRAGGTGCTGTGTTAAGGAATGTCATTGTTTCCCTATTTCAACTCTTGCAGAGATGGAATAGATGATGCAGACAGCCAAGGGGATGGCAGCAGTCAACCTGACACCATTTCCATTGCCTCCAGGACATCGCAGAACACAGTGGACAGTGATAAGGTAAGACTGAAATGTGAAAATACATGGCAGCTAATTGCCCCCAGGAAAATGTAAGGGAAAAGCAGGATCGAAGGCGAAAGAAAGCAACCTGTCTTCTACTGAGTGAAATGAGACCCTTTGCTAGGTTATTAAAATCCAGCCTGTTTCTGTGTGCTCGTCAGTACTGCTGTTCCWCATGGAAACATCTCTGTTACTGCTGCTTCTTCCTGGTTAATACACAGAGCTTCAATTGGTTCTGAAGAAACAGCCCAGAGCAACCTTTTCTTGCCTAGTAAAGCTTGTCCTGTGAGATCCAGCTTCTGAATGAGCAAACAGCTGGTTGTGTTACGTATTTCCCTCTGAGCTGAGATCAGTTGTCTGTTGGAGGGAATACTGGTACTTACACATGAATTAATGCATTGGGATCCTGGCTGGTATCTTGAGAGCCTGGGAGACCTCCCATTTCCAGAGACTGTGATTSTGGACCCCTCTCCTCACAGACATATGGTGGAGCATATGGATGGCCCTGAGACTCGTTAGAGTCTGTTGGAATGCTGCACACTGTCGGCATGTGTGTACTCGTCATTTTACTTGTCAGACAATCTGAGTCCAGATCCCCAGCTCCACTGCCTCATCTGAATTTGCCACGCTGATACCTCCAGCTGTGGTCTTCCACTGAATGAGGAGTTGATTGTAGGATTCAATGGGCGGTTAATTACCTCAGCTATGCTGATGGAGTTTGTCATATCCACTGAGAGAATGCTCATATTGTCTTCATGTGTTGTTTTGAAATATCAYATAACTTGAAAAAAGATGAATTTTTCCATGCCTTGATGGATTTATCTGTTTGTCGGGACTTTAATTATGCTGCCCCTTAAGACAAGGTACCAGGGTGCCTTCACAAAATAGACCAAGTTTTGGTTCTAAAGTTCACAGGTAAGGTTCAGTGCAGACACTCTTTTAAAAGCTGGACTCAGAAATATAAGTTAATTGCAATTGAATTACCTTTGTAAGACCATCTGTTGTATTTATCTTAAATGCATGTTCCCATGATTTTACTTTTTTGTCCAATAATGTGTGTTAGAATAGTATTAAAGCATCACAATCCAAAGGCCACTGTAATGTATGCAGATACTTTGTCCGATGTCTGAGAGGTCTTCAATCCACATGGGCTTGTCTTACTTTGTTTTTCACGTTTATCATTCCTGATAAAAGGCCCTGACTTAGTGCAGTACTTGAGCTCATGTTTAATTTTAAGCACTCGCCTAAGCTTTGCTCATTTGCCCCCAGCCCATTGGCTCAGTTGCATGAATTCTGGCCATGTCCAGGTAAGGTGCTCCATGTTGCATGCTGCAGCTGCATGCAATGGTGCCAACACAGSCTGTGTACCTGAAAGACAGCCCATCRTGGCAGGAGTTGGTTKAAGGATGCAAGACTAGAAAGGGTTRTAGGAATTTCTRTTCAAAACCTTGTTTGAACTGAACAGCAAATGTGTATGAGGTAAACTGAGTAGAGATAGTGCAGGGAAAAAGTTGTTACCACTGGGGAAAGGGTTGTGCCATGCTTTTAACTTTTTGTTATGGTACATGTGTACACTTGCTGACTTAAGGCCGCCTGTCWGTGTGTCCTTTTGTATGCTTAATGAATAGAAGCAAATTTGAGTGTACAGCTAAGGCTAAAGATTACTTGTATGTGCTTTGTTGAATCTGAGGTGGCAGTGTATCATCCTTAACTAGAGAGGCAGTTCCTGCTGAACAGTTTCCTTATTGTCACTGATGTGAATGCCASGATACTGTGGAGAATTCAGCTCCTAGAGTGCTGCATTATCATGTCTTTGCTCCCAGAAGAATGAACTGCCTGCATCTCTTTATAGTTCTCTCAGTTTTTGTGCATAATATTACCCAAATTACTGGCAGATGAAGCTGAGCTGCCTTGTCTCCCCCTGAATTGGCACAGAGTCACAGCTTCAGTCTTCACGGTGTTCAGTCTCCACTCCAGCACTGGGCTCACCTGCTGGCACAAAGCCCTCAGCACGTGTTGGCACCTRTTGTGGGGGCACTGTCTGTCAGCACATCCAGAGCTCTGATAGGACTCCCACTGGTGACGTTTTACCATGTGGGATTTTTTTTCCTTTAGTGTGTAGTTGAGCTTTCCTTCTAGGAGGGTCTGAGTAACCATTGTTGGCCAGGAGATTTTACATTCTCACGTGGGCTGGTGCTGCTTACCAGCATTGGAGCACTGGCTCGTGCCATGCTCTCTGGGTAGGTTTTCTTGGCAGAGTTGGCAGTGCTTGSCACACTCTAACCTACCTGCTGTAGTTAACTCAAGGGGCTTATGGCAGCTCTGATAGGTGCAGGGCTCAGCAAGTAATGCTGTTTCACCCCAGCATAGTCAGTTATTCCCATGAGTTCAGATTCAAGCCTGGAGGCTTTTTGCAGCTGCAGCTTCCGTGGSTGACTTCTCTCTGTGTCCCAGTGAGATCTCCATCCAGAGGAGCCAGAAAGAGCTCCTACCTTTAGAAACTCTGGCTGTTCACAGTAGTCTCATCTGCAAACCCRTGCCAAGAGCTTTGCAGTTACAGCAGTTGCCAGGGTGGCAGCAGATTAATCCTGCTTTGGGACCATCCATCCATTAACTCAGTGCCAGAAACAATTCTCAAGTAACACGTATCAGCTGATATTACTCTCTGATGCCAAAAGAATTCAAAGATTTAGCTGACACACTTTGTCCTTTCCCTAAACCTTGCTGTTACACCTGAGGATTGCCTAATGCATKAGTTGAATGTTCAGACAAGACTGTCAAACCACATTTTAGACAAAGGAAATCACAACTTCTCCAAGAGTCTCAATTTCAAGTAGCACTTCTGCTTAACAACWCTCCTCATGCCTGAAGTCAAATGTATTTCTTTCAACTGAGTTGTGAGTCAACTCCTCCTGAGTTGCAAGTAGCAATTTCTGTCTCTCTCCATGGCACAGCCCTAGAGCCAAGCTTTAATTTTTCATTTCAAGCTCCTTAGAAGACAGAAGGTTTTTTGTTGTCAAGTGGGAATAAAATGACATTACTATAAATGCAGCAAGGATTTGTTTTCTCTCAAGACATCTGAATATAGCCACAGTATTTACTGGGGAGGATCGTTTGGTGCAGAGGATAGAGCACTCTGACTGGGGGCTGAGTTCTTTGAATTCTGAATTCTGAGTTCTGAATTCTGCTCTGTAGTCACGTGTTGGATGCCATCACAAAGTACATTTGATGGCACGTTATCCTTTTCTTTTTTTCCTTTGTTTGGATGAGGTATTTACAGGGGGAGACAGAAATTCTTGCAAACATCACATTTGTACATTAATTATAGCATTGCCCTCTATTGTCCCAACACATGATGCAGAGCTGAATTTGGACCTGGTTTTGTAGCCTTTGCAGTAGCAGACTCTGCTTTGAAGATACTCTGAAATATTTGCTTGACTCCAGAAGTGTTACTAAGCCTTTTAATATGCAGGCTTTCCTGACTGCAGGCAGTGGTCAGGTGATTATTTAAGACTTCAGA